TATGTGCTGAGGAAGAAGAACAAGTTTTTGCCACAAAACCCAAAGCACTCCGGTTCGCTTTCTGTGACTTGTTTAAATTGTTTTGCAATAAAGAAGATTAAAAATTGAAGCCAGGCAGATTAAAACAGAATTGAGGAATCACGGTCACATACTTCTTAGTCAATAGGTATTCAGGTATCTGTTACTTGCAAAGTGTTGTGCCAAATGCTTTGAGGAATAACGTGGTGAGACATGTTCCCTGTCTTTTAGGGGCTGTAGTCTGGTGGAGGTTTAGTAAGAACTGTGTGGTTCAAGAGAGACTGATAAGAGTCTAGTCTCTGTCCGTGGACCTCATGGGGAGTGGGGGTGGGCCAGAATTGGGGCTAGGGTGGACAGATCCTCATGGTGAAGAGATCCTGTGATGGATAAACGGCAAAACTCCAGGTCATCAACACTTTGAAGTCAGACAGCAAAGACCGGGATCCTGAGGTGCCAGGGGTCTGCTGAACTGGGGACTATAGGAAGGGGGACCACGGGAGTGGGGGATCAGAGAGATGTCACGCTATAAGAAAGCCGTCACAGAAAACACAGCATGGGTGTGGGCAAAATTCTGTTTGAAAAAATGGTTTTCATACATTCTCAGTTTTTTCCTGTCCTAACACCTGAGGGATATGACACATTTCTATTAGTCACCGTGGTAGTCTCCGAGAGGCATGCAAATACCCACTTCGGTACGCAGGAGATTCAGTTGAGCATCTTATATAATTTGGAAAGCCCATGAGTGATTCTGATCTTTCCCCATCCATTTACCGGCGCGTTCCTTGCGGAGCACCCTTGAACTTTGCTCCTTAAAGAATCACGAGAAACTTCTAACAATGAATGCCCTTTAAGAGAGGTGCGACTCACATTTGCTGTTTAGGCATTTGCTGTTTAGATGGGGGAGGAATACATTGAGGTTTGGGTGACTCAGAGAAGGAAGCGGTAACATTTGAGCATCTTTATTTTGATGAAGTTATATTTGAACTGCTGGTTAAAAAGCATATTAATAATAAGAATAGAAACGTGGTTAGAATTTTACCATGGTGTTTTTTTTTAGTTCTGCAAGAACTTTAATGCTATTAAAATAAAACGTATGCACCTTTTAGGAGACACTCAGAATGGTGTGGTTGATGTGTAATTCTAGCATTTCAGCTGATAGGTTTTGTCAGCCTCAATGTGGGTGTCAGAGTACTTTCGTCTCTATTGTCTCATTTGAACGTCATACCATTCTGTGAATTCAGTGTGGCATTTTATTATAATTCCCATTTTTAATGATAAGCGAATCACCTACGAAGTGGAGGAGGTCTTCTGGCTCCAAATCTGAATACACCAGCTGGCCTTTTAGTTAATTGGCTTGTTAACTCCAGAGGTAGGTGCAGGCTCCTGTCTCCCAGTTCAGTGAATCACAGCATTTCATCTCTCAGAGACCTGAGAGGCAGATAAAATACAGTCTAGTTTTTCTGACCTCTAGCTAAAGCCAGAAAAGTAATTTTTGATGTGTAGATACAATAAAAGTGTTAGCTTTGCCTTCCAGGCCAGCAGTCATGGCTCAGGTGACGCCAGTCCAGATCGACAATATAGGCAGCTGTGTGAGTACCCAGAAGCCAGATAGCTCAGTCCAGGTGCCCCTCCTTCAGGCTGTTAACCTTCACTCCTTCCATGATGGCTTCATGCCAGAATATGCTGGAATATACTAGAACAAGAGCAGAACACTTGTTCCCATTACCTTTCTTTTGCTTCTGTGCCTTTGTTAGCTTTCTGCAAACATTTATTCTTCTCAACAAGCCTTTAAGATCCAGATGTATTTTACAGAATAAATACATCAATAAAAGTCTACCCCTGTCCATATTACCTACTTTTCCAAAACAGTTCCTTTTGGGTATTTTTGATGTTCTCTTGTCTGTCTGGTGTGGTACCTTTAGGGAGGTCCCCCTGTGTGGTCTGGCCTTGCTAGGTTCCACATGAAAGCAGTTTTGCAGCAAACTCCTGTGATCTAGGGCTTAGGTTCCTCCTCCTCCCAACCTTACCAATCTTACTTTGCTCTCTTCTCATCCTCCTTCACTCTTGCAGTATCTGTGGAACATGTACTCTGGGCCTGGCATGATGCCACATGCAGAGGGTACAGCAGTTCCTTACCTTCTTGGAGCACACTGCTTTTGACTCTTAGGCATGGGGCTAAGACACTACTACCTGGTTGATGGTCATTATCCGTGCCTCCGTGGTTTTATTGTGACATCACCATTATAGTTGGTTGGCTGGGGAAGGCTGGGATAAAGCCATTCTTGCGTACTTTTTACAGAAAAAGTTCCAAGATGCATTGTGTATGTATGAGTACCTCTTCTACAAAATCTGCTGTCAGCCTCTGTCTTGTATAACTTTCCAAAAGCTGAATTTAGGGATATATTGTAGATCTGGGTGGGCATCTAACCCCTTGATTGACTCTAGTGTTCTAATTGGTCATATGTCTCTATTGATTATTAGAAGTCTTAGCATTACCTGATTCATCCCAGTAAGCCAGACAGGCCTGCGCTGGCATCAAGGTCCTGGATTATATGAGTCTGAGCGGTTTGATATTGTTAATCTTATTTCTTTGTGATTTCATCCGTGAAAGCTTTTCCTCTCCAGGCCAGTTTGGCAATAGACCTTCACCTTCTTTAAATAAGATATTCTCTGTTTATTGGTAACTTTTCTCAGCTACCTCCGGTTGTAATTCTAGACATTGTATTTGCCAGCTCTGAAACAGTTGGGAACATTTGAAGAGAGAGAAAAGCAGATATCGGTCACATATCCGGGATCCGCAGGGTTGGCAGGTTTATTGGTTGGAATTCTGTAGCTGCTCCTGTAGTTGAGCCGAGTGTGTTTGGAGCACCTGAATTAGGGGCCAGGATTTGTCAGTATTCTGGAAGGCCCGTTGTAGCTTTACCTTATCTTTTTTGCCAGCCTGACCAGAGGTCTCTGTTCAGACAAATAGTAATTAGGTTGTTGACTTTGTAATATGAAGGGTTTTGAGCAGAAGAGGTGAAATTTTGTGTCTTATTTTTAAAAAGAGAATAATCAGACTTGAAGCTTATTTTTTTAATGTAGAAAAATTTCAAATTTTTTTTTAATATAGAAAAACTGCACATTCATTTTTGGCCTCTGTAGGTATGAGTAAGACTATGGGTTTTTAGTGTAGAAGAATATGTTCAACAAAAACAACAAAAATCAAATTTATGAAGCCATTACAGTGAAGGGGATATTTTCTGTTCATAATAAATAAGACGTATTACCTGTTATTTAAGTTATTTCTAGTAATACAAAATTGGCTGTAATTGGACTGCTGATGCACTTCATGTCTTGCCATTAGTAATTCGCATCTTTATAATTTGAAGGTTATTTAAATATTTTATGCAAATCAGTCATATCTAAACTTTGTTAAATAGAATAAGCAGATGGGTATAGATAGGGTTTTATAGTTTAACAAATATTTTTGGTTATATTTTCTCATGTAATCATGTAATCTGAGTAATTTTCTCATGTAATCTGAGCCTTAGAGAAGCTGAGTGACTGGGGGTCCTCCAGCTCTTGTGTGGCCAGCTGAGGGCTTACACCCAGTTTTTCCCTTCAGGTCCACTGTCCCCTCACTCTACAATACTGCTTTTATCAGACCGAACGTATTTGTCAATATTACATGGCTTAACAGTTCTATCACTGCATTTTAAACCTAAATTCCGGTAGTTACAAGGTCTCTAGCATCCTTTTAGTCGGGCTTGGGGAACTATTTTTGTCTGTAGAAATAATTTTTGAAAAGTCCTAAAATACCCATGAATTTTTTTTTAACTTCTGTTAAACCTTGAAAGAATAAACAAATTTGGAAGGATCATTTCTGAGGAAGCTAAGGGCCGAGGGGGGTTAACGCTTAAAATGTAAACTATACCAGTTATACTCGTTAGTGCCTTGGTTTTAGACGTTTTCAGGCTTAAGGGAAATGTTGAATGAGGTTCTGGCATTTGATACTACAGTTTACTCGAGTATTTTGAGGACCTGTGAAAATATGATACTGGCAGGAACTGATTTTATTCTCTTTTGACCATCTCCTGTAAAGAATAACTTTAATTCTGTTATATCTGCTCTTGTCCTCTCTCTCTCCTTTTTTTTAAACTAACTATTCTGTGTAACCGTAGTGTAAATACGGTAACTTTTTAATGACATAAGGAGGTGGGTAACAGATACAGAAACATAAAGAGTCTTGGTTAAACATGAAAAAGAATTACCTGACAGAAAATGACTAATGTAAAATGAAATTATTTCAATACTCATGAGACAGAATCCTACATACAATTGCTGCTGTAATGCGTTGCTAAGGGAGAATATGAAATTTCCTCCTCTGAATGTCCTTAAAAGTGAATTCGATTCTCTTCTGCTTGGGGGCCTTGCTCCCATCTTCTTACATCAGTTTCCAATACTGAGATGCTCTGGGGGCTAAGAGAGGTGTACAGTGTGGTCTTCTCAAGGAATTTACAGTGACTGTTTTACTAGTCACTGCATTCTGCTTCTGAGACTTGGAGAAGCTGGTGTATAAATGGAATGATGAATGAATTTATTTTTGAAAAACTATAGCCAACTCTTACATATATATGGTAATTATAGGAACATACATGGCCTGGCTACAGTCAAGGAAAAGATGGCAGATCTCAATTTATCCGTTAGCAGCAACTTATTTTTGAGTGAGCATTTCATGATCAGTGCTTCTAGAAAGTATAAGTAAAAAAGAAAGTCATTTTAGGATCTTATTTTAAGATTCTTTCTTAAATTCTAAGGAAAAAATGGTAAGAAACTGTGAAATGGCTAAAAGTTGATGGAAATATAGGGAAGAGGGGAAGGGCTGGCTGGGGTGGTCCACTGTCACTATATTCCTGAAACTTAAGTAGAATGTGCTGCCTAGCTTGTAGAATTGATAACTAACGAGTGTCCCATTTCTTCTGCCTGTTGGTACAAAACAGTGAGACGGTTTAAGCGGAAGCATCTTACAGCCATCGACTGCCAACATTTGGCTCGGAGTCACTTGGCTGTGTTCCAGCCCTTCGGTCAAAGATGGACAAACAGAGACCCGAACCACGGTCTCTATCCTAGACCCAGAACAAAAAGAGGGACTGGGGGTATGTCTTCCCAAAAAGTACCTTGCATTTCAGAATCTGTAGTGCGTGTGACCTTTCAGTATCTCCCAGTATTTGTAAATTTTGCTGTTATGATTTTGTAGTCCTGTTGCAATAGTTGGACACTTTTTTCATTATTTGTGAGTTTGCCATGAAAATTCCATCTTTATTTATAGTGGCTGGTAAAAGCCCCAGGAAAACGTGGCTGCATGAAATCCATTAGCTTGCTTAATTATAATGTGGTAAAAAGCACATACCAATATCACCACAATTCCCATCCAGAATCCATGATTTCTTGTCTCTTCGGTGGTCCTCCTTGTCTAGTCCATCACTAGGTCCACTGTATCATTATTTTTCTCCAAAAGGTCCCCGTGTCCAGTGCCTTCATGGTGACTGTGCCCTTTGTCACCTCGTACCTGGGCTGCCTCGGTAACCCTTCTCCTTGCCTTCGGATTTTATTTCTTCCAAATCAACTGGGATGTACATCATCAAGTTAATATTCTTTTTTTTTTTTTTTTT